TGAGCATGCTCTGGCCTGGCGCTTGGCGCAGTCACCCCAGGTGCTTCGCGTTTTTGTCGAGGGCGTCGTGACCCCCTTTGAGGACAAGGTGCGCTGCCATCCCTAGCTCCTGCCTTGGCTTGTTGGCGTCAACCCAAGTGAAATCGCCGGCTCGACTGCCTGCCGTTCTTACGCCATGTGCTCTCCCGCTGCTCGCTGGCAGGTGCAAGCCCCCGTCGCACTCCCCAAGCCAAGTGAGGCTGAGGCTGTCGCCACTTGGTGCCAGTCCAACCAGGTACTGACCCCACTCGCTCTTGCCTTTTCGACACACGAGGCCACTCACCCCATCATCCCCTGCCTACCCCGGCGCTTTCGCCTTCATTGCGCAACAGATTGAGTTGGTGGTCGTCGGCCCGGAACAGCCGCTGGCCGATGGTCTGACGGATGTGCTCCTGAGCCACAACATCAACTGCTATGGCCCCACCCAGGCCGCTGCACAGCTCGAGGCCTCCAAGTCCTTTGCCAAAGACTTTATGGCCAAGCACGGCATTCCCACAGCTCGCTACGCCACCTTCTCCAACGCTGATCAAGCCACCGCCTTTATTGACCATGCTGACTTTCCTGCCCTCGTGGTCAAGGCCAGCGGCCTCGCCGCCGGCAAGGGCGTCGTCGTGGCCAAGGATCGGGCTGAAGCCAAAGATGCTGCTCGCACCATGCTCGATGGTCGCTTCGGCGAAGCCTCCAGCAGCGTCGTCATCGAGGAGCTCCTCTCAGGCCCCGAAGTCTCCATCCTCGCTTTTTGTGATGGCGACAGTGCTGTCCTCATGCCCCCAGCCCAGGATCATAAGCGCCAGCTTGATGGCGATCTAGGACCCAACACCGGCGGTACGCACCATCACACCTACCCTCCCTCTTCATCTACGCCCGCCTGTTCGAGAAACATGGCTTGATGCCCATGCTTGCTTTTGCCATCGATCCCAATAGGCATGGGTGCATATGCCCCCGTTCCTTTTGTCTCCCAAGAAGTTCTTGATACAATCCACGAAACCGTCTTTCTGGTCCGTTTGATCCCGCTCGCCCTCGGCGCGTCGGCTTTTTCGCTCCCGTGCTCGCTCTCCTGCATCCCCTGTCCTTCCTCAACGATTGGGCTCCCTACCTCCTTCTGAATCATCCAGCGGGTCCTAGAAGGCATGAAGGCCGCCGGCACACCCTACCACGGCACCCTCTACGCTGGACTAATGCTGACTCAAGAAGGGCCTCGGGTGCTGGAATTCAACTGCCGCTTTGGTGACCCCGAAACTCAGGCACGTGCTGCCCAATGGGGGCCATGCTGCTCGGCCCCGCCCTGGACCTGGCCACACTTCCACGATCCTCACAACTGCCCCCACTTTGTTGTAGGTCCTGATGGCTCTCTGCCAGGGGGATCTCTTCCAAATTATGCTCAACTGCGTGCCCAAGGCCAGCTCCAACCTGACGGGCATCAAAACCAGCACCGTCTTTGGCCAGGGTACGCCCGTGTCTCTGCTCAACAACCACCGCTGTCTTCCACCTTAACAAGCGCTTGCTCTTCTGCCCTTTCTTCTCTTGCAGGTAAGGCGGCCGCGTGTGTGGTCATGGCCAGCAAGGGCTACCCGGAAGCTTATCCCAAGGGTCTGCCCATTGTTGGTCTCGACGCCAATCACCAACTAAACGAGGAAACCATCGTAGGTCACGTCTTGCAGACGAGTCGCTGCCATCCCCGCTGCCACCACCCTCGCTTCTTTGTCTCCGCGCTCACCCAGGTTGGCCGCCGCTTGCAGATCTTTCACGCCGGAACTGCCGTCCAGAACAAACAACTCGTCACTTCGGGTGGCCGGGTACTCTCTGTCACCGCTTGTGCTGATGATCTCGAGGTTGCATGCCAGCAAGCCTACAACGGTGCGATCTCAAGAGCGCAGCCGCTCCCACCACCTCGCTTGCCGTGCCAGAGCCCACCCTTGTATGATGCCATCACCAACCACTCGCCAATCACTCGCCAACGTTAGGCATTGTCAACATTGATTTCGAAGGCGCCCAGTATCGACGAGACATCGCTGGCCAAGTCATTCGTCGTGCCAAGGTACACCCAGCTGCCGTTGGCAACAAGTCCTACGACCATCCCCACACCGTGAACACCGCCCTTATGGTCAGCGTACTCACATCCGAACCACCCTCGTGTTCTGGATGTACTTCCCGTGTCTATACATGTGCACAGGCTTCGGGGTTGACCTACAAGAGTGCTGGTGTGGACATTGACGCCGGTGATCACTTGGTTGGTGTCGCATCCTATGGGCATGCCTTCTGCTCGGCGTCACATGCATCATCACATGCCTTACTTGTCATGATTCTCTTGGCGCAGGTGGACCTCATCAAGCCCTTGGCTGGCGCCACCAAGCGCTCCGGCTGCGATGCGCAGCTCGGCGGCTTTGGCGGTAAGTTTTACCCTCATTGTCCCGTGTAGTTGGCTGTGAAAACTAGCACATACCCCTCATGTTTGACGCTCTGTCTCGCCGATTGACCCATGGAGCACAGGCATGTTTGACCTGGCCGCCGCTGGCTTCAAGGATCCCGTCCTTGTGTCTGGAACGGATGGCGTGGGAACCAAGCTCAAGGTTGCACACGCCGTTGACAAACATGACACCATCGGCATTGACCTGGTGGCCATGTGTGCCAACGATGTCCTGGTCCGTTCACAAAACTGGCCCTCCCTAACCCTGACCTGTGCGCCCGACGAGTCGTTTTTTTTTTTTTTTCCTGCACATGTGTATTGACGACTTGATTTCATAGACGTGCGGTGCTGAACCACTCTTCTTTCTGGATTACTTGGCCACCGGCAAGCTTGAAGTGGACCAAATGCATCAAGTCGTCCAGGTTTGTTGGCCCATTTGCAATGCTTTCCTGTTTGTTTTGTTTCTGGCTTGTTTTATGAATCGTGTTCCTCTCCATTTCGGCTGGTCTTGCACTTGAGACGCACCACCTCACCTGGTATGCATTGCAAACAGGGTGTCAGTGCCGGTTGCTTGCAGGCAGGATGCGCCTTGCTGGGTGGCGAGACGGCGGAAATGCCAGGAATGTATTCCAACGGCCACTACGACGTTGCTGGCTTTGTCGTTGGGGCTGCTGAACGTGACCAAATTCTGCCTCGCATCGAGACCGTCAAGTAGGTCATTTTTGTCGTCAATACTCAAGGACAAAGTAACCAGACGAGACCGGCTCACGCGAAACCTGTCCACGTCGCGATACTCATACTCTAGGCCCGGAGATGTCGTTCTTGGTCTCTCGTCGTCGGGCGTGCACTCTAACGGCTACAGCCTGGTGCGTCGCCTTGTGAGCAAGCTTGGCCTTGACTACAACGAGCCCTCGCCGTTTTCAGACAACCAAAGCTTGGGCGAAGCACTGCTTGAGCCAACGCGCATCTATTCGCGCCAGCTGCTTCCTTTGATCCGTAAGAACCTGGTGAAGGCCATGGCACACATTACGGGTGGTGGATTGCCTGGCAACGTTGTTCGTGTGTTGCCCGATGCATGCACCGTCCGCCTCAATGCCCAGGTTCGTCGTTGCGTTTGCATCAACCAAAGCTTCACTCTTTAGGTCACTCTCACCTTTCCCGCCATTACAGAGCTGGCCCATGCCCCCCGTATTCCAGTGGATCTCCACCATGGGCCAAGTCGAGGCACATGAGATGTCTCGCACCTTCAACTGTGGACTGGGCATGGTTATTGTCGTCGATGCCGCCCATGTTGCGGAGATTCAAGAAGTATGTCTTGAAGCGTCACCAAAAACGGAATTAGCGCCAACACTGCTCTTCTGCTTTTTTTCCCCTCCTTGTTCGTTTTTCTTACCCGGACAGTGGAACGCAAGAGCTTATCTGTGTACGTCTACCCTTAATTACAGCTGCTCCCTGAGGTCATGATCATTGGTTCCGTTGAAGCTCGAGGTGCAGAGCCCGTCGTGGTAAGAGAAACTTGCGTTGTCGGCGACACCTCGCACCTGAAAAACCGGGCAGATTGATGGCATCATGGGGCCCATGGTGGTCCAGGCGTCATTGTCAAGGCCCAGTACCAAGCGTTCTGACTCAAGCAACACTGCGTATGCGTCTAGGTGGAAAACTTGGCGTCGGCCCTGATCAACACCAAGTTCACACCTCCGGCAGCGGTACGCTACCTTGACTCGCCAGTGAAGGGCTTATGCCCTCTTGCACCCGTAACTGACTTGGCCTGTGCGCTACTATCCTCGTGCCCTTTTGTTAGACAATGCGCAAGCGTGTGGCTGTGCTCATTTCCGGCACCGGAACCAACCTTCAAGCCCTGATTGACGCCTCCAGCAATGAGGTGTGCCGTCATGCGCGCGCACGCGCACTTGAACAGTCGATGCTAGTACCAGCAACTCACCCATGCAACCCTTACCATCCCCAGGACTTTCCGGCCGAAATTGCTCTCGTCATCTCCAACAAGCCCGGCGTCAAAGGACTTGAACGTGCTTCGGCGCACGGTATTCCGAGTGCAGTGGTCCACCACAAGGAGTTTGACACCCGTGAAACTTTTGAGCAAGCGATTCAACAGCACTTGGAGCAATACAAGATTGATCTCGTCTGTCTTGCTGGCTTCATGCGGTACGACGCGCACTGGAAGTTCATGTGCACCGTGTTAAAACCGTGGCAAGCTCACGTGCGCCCGGCCTTGCCATTCACTTGCAGCATCTTGACGCCCTACTTTGTAAACCTATGGAAGGGACGGTTGTTGAACACGCACCCCGCGCTCTTACCTGCCTTCAAAGGTCTGTTTGCGCAACTTGCCGCGTACCTGCCTCGGGCGGTCAATTTCACATTCCGCCTGCCCTTTGGTGGCTCGTTCCCGGTGCAGGCATGCATGGTGCTCGCATGGCGATTGAGGCCGGTGTGCGCATCAGGTGAGCTTGCTAGGTGCCACGACGTACTGTCGATGCATGTTCTCTCTTGTGGGACTTGAGGTTTTGTTCATGTCTGGTCTACGTTCGCATGCGTTAGTGGATGCACAGTGCATTTCGTAGAGGCCGAGGTGGATGCAGGGGCCATCGTGTGCCAGCGCGCTGTCCCTGTCTTTCCCTCAGATGATGAGGACACGCTGCAAGACCGCATCAAGGTGGGTTGGATTTCTTTGACGACGGCATGCCTATGCGCGACTCCAATGCCCGGCCCTCTGACCCGACATTCTCTTGTCCGTCCCTTTTGTAGACGGCCGAGCACGAAGCGTACCCTGAGGCCTTGCAGCTGGTTGCCAGCGGGCGCTGCAGTCTGGGTTCCGATGGCCGGCTTGTCTGGCAACAGTAGGCTATCGGCTTGACAAGCCCTTTGCCAAACGCAAGCAACTTAGTTTCTCGCCTCTTTAATTTCATTTCATGACCGTGCTCTTTGTCTTCCCTTTAACGTCCGATGTGGGAGGTGGCCGGCAGTTGTGTTGTTCCGATTTGTCAAGTGTTGATTCTGTGCGTAGAGTTTTCTTTAGGACCCGTCTGTGTGTTTATCGTCCAACCAATCAATCGATCATGCCATGACTGAGTCACTAGTTCAGCTAAATTTTGGGTGGTGCCTCTTTGCATTTTTTTTCTCCTGTTGGCTCCTCGTCAAAGCAGACGTTGGGAATTGTCACAAGGAGTTTTTGAGGCGCAGTGCGCACACTGTGTTACGCCGCATGAACAGGACGCAAATGCCAAATCACGGTCGAGCGTTACGGTTCCTAGCGCTGTGTAGAATGTCGTCATGGGCATGGCTCATTCAATCCTCGTCCTGTCGTCGTGGGCATGGCTCATTCAATCCTCGTCCTCCTGGTGACCGAAGAGCAGGGGAGCAAGGACATCCTTGACTTCGTTGATGATGAAGACGGAGCAAATGTTACGGCCGGCACGCCAGTTCCAGCCTCGGAAAAAGGCCTTGACGCCATCGCCGGCCACGGTTTGGGTGGTTTGCATCACCGAGCCGTAGCGTTTCTGCTCAATGTCTCCCTGCATGCAAGTCTTCACCGTGTCGATCGGGTGGCTGAGGGTGGCCGAGACCACGCCGGCAATGACGGCGCTGTAGATCTTGGCCTGGTTGCGGGTGTGGCCCGTATCCTCAAAGTGCCGCGACAGAGCTGGGCCGAGGCCGAGGTAGCCGGCAACGAAGATGCCCTCACGCAAGCACGAGGGCGCAAGGCCGCGCATCAAACCACCAAGACCGTAGCGCTGTACAATGGTGACGGGCGTGGTGAGCAGTGATTGGCCAAAGCGTTGTTGTTGGATCATGACCAGCTCCATGGGCGTGCAGACGACGCCGGACACCAGGCCGCCAAGAAAGCCGCTGGCCACCATCTCCGAACCCGTCAACTTGCGAGACGCACCACCTGTAGCTCGAAGGTAAGGTGAATGTGATGGTAAGAGGGTACGGGTGGGCCAATGAGAGAATCAAAGGGATTGCGCGCTCCGCGACGCGCAATGGTGAGCTCCATGACACACACACACGTACCGGTAACAATGGACGACATGATCTTGGTCAATGGGAACTGCAAGCCAGTGAGGACGGCCATATCCAGGACCGAGGCGCCGAGCCCGCGGTACAGGTAGCGAGGGTCCATGGTAAAGGGGAGGCCCTGTTGCGAGGCATTTTTCAGGTACAGCGTTGGCTGCATCAAGCAGACCTCGGCTGCCCCGGCGGCCACGCCCAACACCAAGTCCTGCCCTGCACTCGTCATGGTTCGTGACCTGCACACACCACACACCACACCGCAAGCGCATGCAGTGAGCCAACACACACCGATCTCCGACACCATCCTCCCCGCGAGCTTCTCAGTCAACCCCAACCACCCGCCCCGCTACCATCTTCCCTCATGCACATTCATAACCCACAACCCCCGCCACCTGACACCCGACCACACACACACGACACACATTCAGCCAGCGAGCTCGTCCTCCACACACACCTGCGGCTTTTGAAAATTCGCTCTCTCTCCTCTCTCTCTCTCTCTCAAAGCTATCTCTCTCTCAAAGCTCTCAAAGCTATCTCTCTCTCTCTCTCAAAGCTCTCAAAGCTATCTCTCTCTCTTTCAAAGCTCTCAAAGCTATCTCTCTCTCTCAAAGCTATCTCTCTCTCTCTCTCTCAAAGCTCTCAAAGCTCGCTCTCTCTCTCTCTCTCTCTCTCTCTCTCTCACTCAAGCTCTCTCTCTCTCAAACTCTCAAGCTCTCTCTCTCTCTCAAGCTCTCTCAAGCTCTCAAGCTCTCTCTCTCTCTTTCCAACGTGCATGTGTATTGCGCAAACGAACAAAGAAAAAAAAAAAAAAAAAAAAAAAAAAGAGGTCTTTGGTCATGTCGGTACATGTACATCTGTCTGAGCTGCAACTGTGACTGGATCTGTTGTACTGTGCAACTGGACTGGTCCAGACTAAGTTGGCCTGGTCGGTACTGTACTGTATTCACATCCGCATGTACGTACATCTCGACCATGATGTGCGTTCAGAATCTGATTCTTTTGTTCGGGTGGTTGTTGCGATGGTCAATTCTCTTTCTATCACTCTCTATAATCGCAAGGGCGATGACTCGCTCTTCATACTCGAAACACATGAGAACAATGCTCACACTCACCGCACACTCAAAACTCAAAAACTCAAACGCTGACCACACAATGATGGCGCGAGGCAGACAACACTAGGCTTGGTAAACGCAAAGTCGCACAAAAAATAAGAAAGCAAAAATGCCAAAGCTCGCCAGCTAATCGCGAAGAAGCACATTCTCCCACAGCGCACGACGGAAGGCCTTCTCTTCGTCACTGAGCCCTTTCAAGTAACGAGTGATCCGCCTTTTCAGTCGAGCTCGGGCCGCGCTTAAATCCGCTGCAAACTTTTGGTGCAGCTGTTCAAGTTGTCCATGCCAAAAATCGTAAGCAGCGTCACTGTAATAAATGCTGGGATTCCATGGCACAAGAGACTCGCGACGACGCCCATCAAACCTAGGTTTTGGAAAAATTTGCTGCAGTCGTTTTTCTGGTTGGTTGAACAATTCGTAAAGACGAGAAAGCTTCTGATCGTTACAGATGCAGCATCTTGGAATCCTCAACACAAGGTCGCTGAGCTCCATCAGCAAGCATTTTTTCCAGCCCGTCATCAGCTCCACGCGCAACGTAATCTCCTTTCCAGTAGATGGATCCGTCAACTTGGTGTTTGGGTAGGAAGGCTCGTCGCTGAAGGCCATGGCCAGTCGAGATCTTTTTTCAGGTGGAGGGCCACATGCAGTATTTACAACGGTGGCCCGGCCGCGAGGGCGTTTGGGCAAGTGGCTTGCGCCGAGATCACCAGAGAAATCGGAGCAAGAGGTGCGCAACTCGTCGTTTGTAACCCATTTTTCTAACAGCCGAACATAATTGGGGTCACCCTGCCCTGCCACGAGACTCGTTGGCGCTGCCGCCATGGCAGCCGGATTGCCCACAATGCCGTGTGATGGGGTGAGAGGATCTTGATCACTCTGATGCTGGTATCCATACCCAACCGGGGGCAATGGCGAGGGGAATTGAGCGGTGTCATTTACACTTCCCAACGAGCTGCCAGAGCTGTGGCAGGTTGTAGCTGTTGGAAATGTAGCATCATATGGGCCGCCATCGTCATATTCGTCATCGAAGCTCCCTCCAAATTCCCCAGTGTTCTCGCACATCCCCCACAAGCCATCGGGTGTAGCAGACTCAGCTTGTCTGGGAGTATGAGCCGACAGCTGCCGGGTTGGTTGAAACGCGTGATATGGGCGGTTTTGGGCAGCATCACGATGCGTTGAGGCGTTGCGTTGATCTGAGAGCATGGCAGTCCCGTGGTCATCAGGCAGGGCCATAAATGGCCATGGTGACATATTCCCCCCGAATCCTGTTGCACTGAGGGGAGCGGCCAATGGAGGCTCCTCGGGGGTGGTCCATAAACCTCCGAGCGGCTGAGACGCTTGATAAGCATCTCTAGTTGGGGGTCTGTAGGTGGATGGAGGGAGTGCCCCATCAGATTGCCACCCTTGAGCGCTAGCTGTGCCTTGAGGTTCAAAACATTGTGGCTTGAACTGCAGAGCCGGGAGCAGCTGAGCATGTGCATGTTGAGCCTCTTGCTGTTGAGCCGCTTGCTGTTGAGCCTCTTGCCGTTGAGCCTGAATCGACTTGGCCTCGAGCGACTGATCCTCTTGGACGTGCCAGTGAGCTGTGGAGTAGCGGCTATCCACAGGCATCCGCTCGTGCGATGGCACCTGTGGCCATGATGAAGATGCACAGGCTGGATGTTGTGAAGTATGTGATCCGGCTGCGCGATAAGAGGCAGCCGGGGCTTGCACGAAACCCCCCGGCGGTGAGCTGACACTTTCCTGCGAAGCAGCTTGTCGCTCTGAAGTGACATCAACAATGGGTAGTGTTGATGAATCAAAAAACAAGAACTGTGCATCAAGCCCAGTCGTGTCGTCGATGGGAAAGATTGAGTCGATCGCGTGATCTGGTAAGGCGATCGAGTCGGCCAGGTCAATATCAAGGGGGGGATCTGCCATTGCGTCAATCTTGATACCACAGCTCAACCCAAAAGACAATTTTGTCGCCCGAGGCTTTGTTGGTCACAAAAGAGGGCATAAAGTGGAAGAGCCGAGGCGTTGCGGCGAAAACGAGAACGGTCAGGTGCGTGCCCTGGAACCAAAGGACAGGCTGCGCGCCTGGGCCAGTCTATTGAGCCATCACCAAAGAGAAAATCAAGCGGGGTGAGCGAGGCATAAAGTCTTTTAGATAAAGCGCTTGCCTGTCGATGGCAAGAAGACGAGAAAGCAAGTCCGCGTCACATGAACAAAACAAAAAAAACTCAAACATTACAAAACTGACCGTCGCTCCACCCACGAAAGATCCAAAGAAGGGAGCACCTGATCCAACCAGGTACATCAGCGTATCCTGACTTCAATACGCGCGCAGTCGAGCGCCTCGAGTGGCAGCCGCCCCGGAACAAAACCGGAACAAACCCTTCTCCAAACGTTCCGTACTCGAAATAAGAAAAAAAGTGAGCAAGCGCTGCTTTCAATCGAGTCCGAATCTCTCCACAACATATGTTATAAAGACATGTTTAAAACGTGTGTTGACAATAACTGTTGTCAGGCTGGGTCAATCTGTCCAACGGCTACTAACGGCTCGACAGAGTCGGCTACCACACCTCAATGCACTCACGCCTAACCTTAATAACGATGAAGCACCACACTCCCGCAACTGCTTTTGGCGGGAAATCATCGGTTTAGTCGACAAAAACCACAAGTAGACAAAAGAAAAACAAGAAGGCGGGTGATCGTGCGAGCGAGCGAGCAGTTTCCTGCACATTGGCCCTTCGCCTCCGCCTTTGCGCGACCGCTTGCTCCCTTCTCGGACCGGCAGTGCATTCGGGCAGGGGCATATTGACATACAGTCATTGCTTTCCGACGCTCCTCCACGCGTCCTGCGCCTTTGGCTTGAGCCCGAAACCCGGTGCCGCTGGAGCTGGCAATAACAGGTACGCCTTGGACCGACTCTGTTGTTTGAAACCCTCCTTGCTGCCGGCGCGCTTGATCTTCCGCCCTATCATGATTTTTGGGGCGGGTGTTGCATTTCTCTGGGTGGTTTCAAGGCTTTGTTTTGCTCATTTGCGTTTCATCCGCCCTTGCTCACTGATAGCCACCCTAAACGAGCCACGCGCGCGCGCGCACCCACACACACGCGCGCTCATCATGCCACGCCGTACCGGCGGGCCCAAGCCCATCACCCCGGGCCTCGCCAAGGATGAGCTCATTCGTCGTCTCAAGGTTGGTTGCAAACGCATATTTGACCCCTGAAGCCTGCTACTCCAACACACATCACCCATCACAAATGCATTTATTTGCCCCTTGCCCCCCCTCCCCGTGCCCCGCCTAACCGATTCGGCATGTCTTTGTGTCCTTCTCGCAGGCACTGTCCAGCCATCTGGAAGAAATTGACAATGGCCAAAGCACGGACGCGGCTCGTGAGCACGCCGAAGCGCTGCGGCCACTTCTCAGCAACCGCACCGTTAATGTCCGCGTTCTAGTAGCCTGCTGTCTTGCAGACATTTTTCGCATCTTAGTCCCTGATCTGCCCTACGACGATGCTGGGGTCAAGGTATGCGCTGCGCGAACGTTGCCAGGCGCCCTTGATTTTCATGTTCTGCTTGAGCTCTCTCACCACATTGGCCTCCGCGCATCTACCCACACCCTCTTTCTCTGCCTCGAAATGCATTTAATCCCCCCCCCCTCTCGCTTGGATCGCTTGCAGGCAGTCCTCGTTCTCTTTGCCTCCCTTCTGCCCGGCATTGCCGACATCAATGGCGCAAGCTTTGAGCGTCACTTTCATCTCCTCGAGGTTTGTCTGCGCTCGTTTTTTCTTTATTTCTCTCTATTTTTTTTTTTTTCTTCTCCCTGACCTTTGTGCCATTTTTCCGCACGCCCCGCCACATTACCTCGTCTTGCGCAGACCTTTGCCGAGACCCAGACCTTCCTGCTAGCCGCACGTCTAGAGCAGCACGGCATTGTACAGGATGTCTTCAGCGGCGTTCTCGAGTCGGCCCGTACCGAGCACAACAGCAAAGTCCTTCAATGCATGCAAGACATCCTAGCTTCGACCATCGAGGAAGACTATCAACTGCGCGCCGACACCCTTGACGTGCTTTTTCGGGCCATTTTGCCCGCCAATAAGGTCAACTTGCCGCCAATCAAATCTCAGCGTGCAGCATCCGGCCAACTGCACTGCCATTGCTTAGCTATCTCACCACTTCTTTTCTTGCACTTATTGCACAAACGCGTGCGCCACAGGTTTCCCACAGCGCCGCCTATACTGTGGCTGCCGAATTCATCAATAAGTGTGCCAAAAAGCTCAGCCTCAACGTCACTGCGGTATGCATTGCTCGCCCGTCTCCACACGCTTCCCCCACCTTTCTTTAGGCTCAAATACAATCAACGGGCCGACACGCCCACCTCGTTGCCCTCATCGTCCGTGCCTCCGCCCTCTGCCCCCTTGCCCTATGCGCCTCAGTACTTCAACGGCCTCCTTGGCATTGATGAGGAGGTGGAAAGCGAGCACGCTGAAAATGCAATTGAGCTCATTGAAGCGCTGGCCGCCATCAACATCGACGTGCTCATGCGAGTTGTCCCGCAATGCGAGACACTCTTGCGCTCCGAAGACGTTCCGCGACGCCTCAGCGCCACTGTCCTTCTGGCCCGTCTCTTTTCACAAGCTGTCAGTGTCTGCCTCTGCCGGCGTTGCTGCGTGTCCAAGCCACCAACCCGATGGACACTCCTCACTCTCTCCTGCCACTCCTGTCCTGCTTTTGGCGCGTAGCCCACGGAAATGGCCTCGCTTCATCGGGCCCAATGGCACCATCTTCTTCAGCGGTACGCCTCGCTTCACCATTGTTGCCTGGCCTGACCTCGTGGAGCTCACACTTTCGTGTGTGGCGTGATGCGCATCCAGCTTGCAAGATCGAGAACCTAGCATTCGGGCTGAACTGACGAGCCATCTTGGCCAGCTGATTAACATCATGCCCACCGAATTTCGATCGGACCTGCTTGATCGACTCAAAACGGCACTGATGGACATGGACGAAACGGTTTGTTGACCTTGATAGGCCCTCTCTCGTGTGAATAAAAAGGCACGTGAGTTTGAAAAAGTAACACGGCGGTCCTCACCATTACCAATCTCGCTTGCGCTGCCTCCCCCAGGTACGCTTCATGGCGGTGGAAACCGCGGCCACGGTGCTTCAGGACCACCTACCGAGCTGCCCCATGGAATTTATCGACACCTTCACAGACCGTCGTCTGGACAAGAAGGTGCAAGCACTATGCTTCTGCTCCCTCTCCTCCTCCCCCGCGCAATTTTTCTTCTTGCTTGCCCCCCGCCCCTTAAAGCTGTGACTCACCTTTTTTTTGTTGCTCAGCTGAACGTACGCAAGCTTGCCATTGACCGACTTCCCAAACTCTATCAACACGTGCAGAGCCAGTTCGTTTCGCAACCCTCGAGCTACTCTCTGTCATTTTTTTTCTCTCCTCGGACACAAGTGACCTCGCTTGTGCCGTAGCCCTGCGGACTCGCTTTTCACCGCCCTAAGTCTCCATGCCCCTAACCTCTATGTCGTGTCACAGAATCGAGGAAACGGGTTCAGCTGATGCGGAAACTGAGACCAAGGCTGCCAAACTCGCCGTGGCCACTATTGCCAGCTTCAACACCCGCGACACGGAGATTCGGTACGCTGGACTTGGGGGACCGCCTGCTTGCCTACGTTCTCTGTTCACATCTGCAAAACTTTTGGCTTTTCTCGTCTGCTCGCCTGGTGCAGTCTACACACGGAGAACGGGTTGCAGAAGCACATTCTGCCAGACACGCTTGATCCCAGCCTCAAGGCCCAACGGCTTTTGCACATTTGCCGCCACGGCAATGATCGCTTCTGGAGCGCAGTACGCGGCATGCTCAAAATCAAGGCTGGCGTGGCCCGCCTCTTCCGCTCCTACCTTGAGCGGCGACGTGGGGTGAGTTGGGCGACGTCTTTCCCCCATCATGCCCTGTGCCCTGCGATATGTCATCTCAGACCATCTCATGCTGTCATGTTTTGCTTCAAACCGATCTTTGGCGTGGTCAGACGGACAACTTACGAGAGACTCCGTTTTTCAACACGCTAAAGATGCAACTCGTGTCTCAAAAGGCACATGCGTCCATGGACTTGCTGGACGAAGAGGCCAGTGAGCAGCTTCTGGATGCTCTGCAAAGCTTTGTCAGCGAAGACTCGCGGCACGCTCTGGTGCTGGTCGAAGCCAAGGTCCGCAAATTCTCAACTGCCATCCTCTGTTTCTCCGTGCCTCCTCTCTACGTTTTTCTTGCCTTCCCTATTTTGCTTTTTTGGAATTCTCCGCCTCTTTTCACCTGACCGCCTGGTGCAATAGAAACAACTGACAAAGTTGACACCCAAGAATTGTGCCAAAGCCGTAACCGAATTGGTTGTCAAGCTACACCCGTTCCCCTTTGATTGCGATGCCGTAGACGCCCTCTTGTTGAGGTGTGTGACAGAGAATGAAATGGCCTGACGTTTTGGGCAAGGCCTCTGTCAGTTTTGTTTCTCATGCCCGCGAAGACACCTAACAACTACCTGCCATGCAATTGTACCATTTGTCCAGCTTGCATAGTGCGTCCGAAGCCGGCGAAGACGAGCTCTGTGCCGCTGGCGCAAAATTTTTGGCTGCCTACAGCGAGGAGGGCCAAGGTGTCTTCTCTTCGCCCGGCGTCTTCAAGTCGCTGACCCGCCTCGCCGCCTCCGACTCGCCCCAACTTTGTTCGTCTTGCTTGGCTAAGCCTGGTTTGGGTTCCCCTGGGTGACTTGGCATGACTCTTTCATTTTGTTTAAACCTGGCCCGCTGCCTGCCCTTCTTTTCCTGCGCTTAGGTCGCACGGCCTTGCGTATCTTGGCCGCAAGTGGAGAAAACTTGGCGAGCATTGAACCAGGCCTTCACAAGTCTGTGCACGCTTGTCGCCTTTCAAACGCCTCTTTTCGCCTGCACTTTGCTTCCTGCTTGACGCAGGGTCTCATTTTGGGTGCTCTTCCTTGGCTTTGACTTATTGAATTCTAATTTCAGGATGTTGCGAAAGAAACTCGTGGAACTTGCCACAACTGGAGACGTTGCCGAGGCCGAGCTGGCAGTGGATGCGCTGGCTGCCATCTGCGGGGACAAGGCCGAGAGCAGCCACGAATCCATCGTCAAGGTCCGCAACGCATGTGGAGAAGCTTGTCGTTGCACATCTGATTTCTGGCGTGAGTGCATGCAATCTCATTCGAACTTGTAACGTGGCCAATTTGGTCGTTTGGTTCGCATGGCAGAAATGCCTTGAGCACTTGGATCAAGCAGATGAACGCTTGTCTGCATCGCTTGCCGCGCTGGCTGGTGTTGCCTGGCATGCCCCGGATGTTTTTCGCAAACACGACCCTGACATTGTATCGCGCTTCATCGTCGATGACCTGCTCATGAACGCTCGCGTAAGTGTGACACCCACTCCACCACGCACCTCCCGTGCGCGTGGGGCATGATAGGCAGTTGCCACCAAAGGGGGGGGAGGGGGGGTAGAGAAGTTGTTGAATCTCGGTTTTCTCCGTTTGACTGATTCATGCTGATGACATGTTGACATACATTTGTCGTGCCCTGATTCCGCACGATAGAGCGCCATTCCCGAAGAAGACACATCTACCGATGAGTGGGTGGATCAACCTGATCTGGATATTGTCGCCAAGGTCAGTCCTTAATCCACCGCTTGTTCCCAACACTCAAGGACGCTGGGCCCTGACATGACCTTTGCGTGCTCTTGACCGTAGGAGCAAGCCGTACGTTTACTGGTCAATCGACTTCGGGGCCGCACGCGCTCCGAACACGACGAGGATCGTCTGACCAAGCTTGGAGCACCCACATTCCGCCTATTTCAGCAATGTCTTGACTGCTATGGTGACTTCGAACGTGTGCTCTATCGGTAAGATTCAAGCGCCTCGCCGCGTGGTTGGCCCCTGTTGGCGCGGGTGTAATCGATCGGTGTTCACACATCTGCCCGTGGTCTTTGAACGGCATTTTTAGCAACGTGGAAAAGTCACGCATGCGACTGGCCGTGGCCTGTGGCATGTTGGAGCTCGCAGCTACCGAAATCCGGCAGGTCATCCCAATCCAGCTTTGGCACCTCGTGGCCATGACCATGCAGGTGTGTTGAGTTGGTGTTGCGTTGTGCTGCAGTATGGTGACGATCGATCATCGTTTGCCAGAGTCGTCTTGACAAGTCCTTTTCTTGCTGGTGTCTTACATTTGTGCGGCAGGATTCATGCGTTGAGGTACGCAGCAAATTCAATGATCGTCTTTACCAGCTTCTGAGCAAGAACAAGTTACCAGTCGGATACATGTCCTTTTTTGTCTACTCGGCCATTGACCCGGATCCAAAGTGCCGCCGCCTCGTATGTTCTATCACCATGGCCGAAACTGCTCTGCCTTGGGATTTTGACCGTGTCAACCGCAGCATCACACACGCGGGTACCTCACGTTTGATATGTGCAGAGTGCCGAACGACTTCGAGAACTGGTTACACGCAAGCGCAACCTGGCGCGCACCGGTAGGTCCGGGAAAAAAAAAAAAAAAAATCACGAATACCCGTCTTTTCCTCATACCTAATCGCGTTGCTGTGGCTCTTTTGGGGGCTGGCTTGTAGCCGGACCATCGACAACGGAATCCGGTCGTGAACATCTGCTGCCCGAGTATTCGTTGCCTTTTCTTCTCCACCTCCTGGCCCATCACTCCGATTTCACCTACACGTCCGAAGCCCTCCTAAGCTTTGTGCCGTGCGTACCTTTGCTGCGTTTTTCTTTGTTGTTTGCTCGACATGGGTCCTCCTTCGGTCCATGATAGCCTTGTCTTTTTCTTGCCTTCCCTTGCTGTCGCCTGGTGCTTTGCTACCGCCCTGCCTTTTGCTCAGGGGTGGTTCTTGCCTTGTTTTGCGCTGGCTCAGATATCTCGAGTTTTTCTTTGAAGCCGTCTGTCATCGCGGCGAGGAGAGTTTCACGTTTCTCAAGGTCTGTGGTGTCTTATGAGGGCAGGCCTGGCGCTCTCCTGACATGGTTGGATTGGGGCGTCTCACCCTGGGCTTAACCCGGTCCGGCATGCTACTAGAGCATGGTTGATGCGATGAAGCGGATGGAAGATGCGGCTGGGGAAGATTCGACACACTTGTGGGCCGTGTGTGACTTGACGGCAGTGCTGATTGTGGACCTGGCCTCCCGGCCTGGCTGGAAACTCAAATCTTTCCCGGGCCACATTGCACTGCCCAAAGCTCTGTTTCGTCGTCCGACTCGTCCGGTGGACAGCTCTCGCTCGTACCTTCCAGAAAACTTTCAGCTTCGTCGATCAACGACAGCCAAAACCCCCACTCGCAACAGTGTCCCTGCCACGGCCTCTCATCGACCGGACTTGGTTTGTCGACCTGGCGTGTCGGGGAGACTGGATTACCGCGGGAGGAAGAAGCAACAAGAGCGCGTTGCTAGGGCCTGCCGTGAGGTGACTCGAGGCTCACGCGTCCTATTGTACTATTAGAGTGAATCGGAAGATGAAGGGAGCCTGCCATCGGCGAAGAAGAAGAAAAGCACCCCTCGCTCAACTGGCAAGCGCAAGACCAGTCGCACGCCAACAGCCGCGGCCACGCCGCCACCACAACGCCGGTACCACCCGCCGTCACCCCGTTGCTCTCGCTGACTTGATCCCGTTGATTTTACCTGCTGCCGCTGGCTGATTGCTATCCGTGCGTGCCCTGCATGTCCTCGTATAAACGCCATGTGTAGAAGCGCGCGTGCGGCCAAACGCATCAATGATAGTCTAGCTGATCTCGATGACGATGAGCTTGATGCACAAGCACTGCGTGACAACATAGTTGCGGAAACGCCGCAATCAGCCCCCAACTCGCATGATTCGACCAAAACGCGCGGCCGCCGAATTGGACGACCGCCGGCGCCCGCTCTGTCCGATGAGGAAGATGAGGACAAGAATGACGCTGCCACGTCGCCAGGCAAAGCGGTCCCTGCCTCACCTGAGCCTGAGGCTGAGCCTGACTCCCCCCAACCAGGAGCAAGGCAAACACGGCGCAGTGGCCGCACCGCAGGCAAAACGCAAGCGGCTGCCTCGGATGCCGCCCCAGCGCCCAAGCTTCCGGTCTGTACTTTGCGCTCTACGCGCCATACACTCACACGCCCACATGTACACACTGGGCCCTAACGCACTCAATTTGAATACTCATACTTCTGGTCGATATTTCACCTGCCCTCTAAATGACAGGTGTCAAGGAGACGCCGCCGTGACCTGGCAGCCTAGATTGCCGCTACCCGCCTGTTCCCTGGTTGTTTGATGTGCGTTGAAGTTTTACGTTTTGAATTGACAGCTGATTTGAGAGAGAGAGGCTGCTGCTCAATTTGTTAACAACAACAGTTGTTGCCAAACAACCTCTCTTTTTGCTTTTGCTCTCTTTTTGTCGCTCTCTCATCTTCATCTCCACGCGAAAGAAGAAGTGCACCGCACAGCACACGAGTGCTGCCTCCGGAGGGTAGCTCGCAGTACCGGCAGCGCAGCGATGGTGGTGATTGCAGATCCCCCGGCTTTTGAAGCTTGGCTGCGGAAGCGCTTGTACGTATTGGTTGGATGGGCGCTTTCCTCTCTTTCTTCGACATTGGGCGCGGGGACCACGGAGCTCGTCGACAAACGTCTCGTGCCCTGAATTTTTTATGTTTTTTTCATTCTGTCTCTCTCTCTCTCTCTCAAACTTTGCGTACACCCGCGCGGTACCATCTGGCTGGTGCAAGGGAGGGACCGGGAATGTCGGAAACCCATGCCATAGGCTCACTTGTTGTACAACGGTCTCGTTGCTTGGGCGCTTTTGCAACGCAGGGGTGAGGACAATCAGTCAGCTGCGCCATATATCCTGCTTTGCTTGAAGAAGAACACGAGCGAGAGTGAACTGGCCGAGAAGCTCGAGGATCTGATCGAGGGACCAGCTCGGCCTCTTGTGGCTGAACTGTTTGCCGTCCTCCGCTCCAACAGCTACACCACGGCGACCAGTGCCAGCAGCTCAACTCATGCAGCCTCCAGCAAGACCAGCCAGTCGGCCCCCAGCAAGAGCCGATTGCCTGCACCGCCATCCCCGCCGGCGCAGGACCAATCGGCAGCACCTGCGCCATCTACCACGACATCCAGTGACGCCAATGACCATGGCGATAAGCCCACACATACCGTTGAGGCACAAGCCCCGACGAGCGAGGGGCGCGACCGTGACCTGGATGACCACCCACGCCGGCGCCGCTCGGTGGGTCAAGTGTTCCATATCCCTCCAACTAACCGTGAATATCTTTCAACTCAACCCTTGCCAATGCTTTCAACTCGCCCCGACCTGTAGCTTGAGGATGATGATGACAGGGAATACCGCCGACGTGGAGACAGTCCCGAGTCAGAACGTCCCCAGGCGGCCAGCCGCCTGGACCGTGCTGTGCGCGAGAAATCTGATGACAACAACGGCTATCGATCAAACAACTCTAATCAATACAATTCTCATCAGCAAGACCGCTGGCGCATGCCACCGCGACGAGGTATGCAACACACCGCTACCTTTTGCCACTGAACCCCAACCTTGCCTTGGCGCCCGCTCTGATGTTTGGGCAATTCGCCTCGATGCGTGACTGCAATGACAAACGCTCTTCTCTTTGCCATAGACATGCGTGGTGGACGCGGTGGCAGCAACATGCCCCGTCGCGGCCCCATGCCACACAACGCGCCTCCGTTTGGCATGGGTTTTGGTCGCCCCGATAACATGCGTACGTTTGCACTACACCTCGGCCTTGCGGCCCACGGACCGCCCGTGCATTGATGTGGCCCCGCATACAATGCCTGTTTTGTCCACCTGCCTTTGTTGGCTCACGACGCCAACCGTCTTGCTTCACTCGAACATGTGCGCAGCTATCATGATGGGCATGGCCAACATGCAGGAGTTGCAGAACATGCAGCATTTACAGGACATGCAAGGCATGCCCAACATGCCCATGAACATGCAGAACCTGCAAAACATGCAAAACATGCAAGGCATGCCCAACATGCCCAACATGCCCAACATGCAGGTTTGTCGACTCTAGCCTTTCTCTCACATCCAAGTACATCCTACCGTAGACTCAACCTCACACTGCCCCCTCCCATGTTGGCTCGCACTCAGGGCCCGATGTTTATGGGCCCCTCCGACATGGGCCCACCAAACATGGGTCCGTCGAACATGGGCCCGCCAGACATGGGTCCGCCAGACATGGGCTCACAAGACATGAACATGCCCAGCATGGGCCCGCCCAACATGGAGTCGATGATGCGGGGAGGAGCACCCCCACCTATGGGTGGTCCTATGGCCTTTCACGGGGGTGAGGGTCCTGGCTCGGGCTACGGCAATAATTATCCGCCACGCGGGCATCGCAACCGCCGAGATGCCCACGCCCCGCGCCGCACGGGTGGACCGAACCACCATGGCGGTGGCGCGGGTGGTCCTTCGCCCATGCAATCGGCCCTTATGGCCCTTGCCCCGCGCGCGGATGACCCGCGGCCGGCTCCCACGATGCCAACCCAACAGCCTCGCCACCGCCCTGCGCCCCCAGCGACCACCCTTGAAGTCACGGTCCGTTTTGCAAACATGACTGTTTGCTGTATCTGCCCGTTGCCTCCGTC